CCAACCAACCAGAGACCCCCAGGGTCTAAATCACCAGCCTGGGAGCACACAGGCAGGGACCCATGGCTCCAGCTGTATATGTAAGGGAGGATGGCCCTGTCGGGCATAATTGGTCCTGTGAAGGCTAGATGCCCTAGTGTGGGGGAATTTGAGGGCGGGAGGTGGGAGTGGGTGGGTGGGGACACACCCTCATAGAAGCTGGAGGAGGAGAGATGGGGTTGGGGGTTTAGGGGGGAATGAGAAAAGGGGATAGCATTTGAAATGTAAATAAATAAAATATTCAATAAAATGAAAACTGCAACAGAAAAAAATTAACAACAACAACAAAAAAACAAGTAACATATGAAACCTGGCCTATCATATTTATACCTGTCTTCTCAATGTATAGTATAAAAGACAAAAGGGGTTGGATACATGTGCTCCAGACTCAAAGAAACCACTCATGTTTCTACAAGAAAGCAACTGGTCCAAATGTTTTGGGCAGATTCAGAATCAGCCATCATACTGAAGTTACTCAGAGGTCACTGCCTGATCTAGCATGTGAGGAGCAACACAAAGAACCTTACAGGTGGTCACATCTGGCTGATGTTTTCCTATCCAGGCCCAGAGAGGACCCACCACCCCAGCTCCCACTGCTCAGCCACCTCCCCCTACCCATTGTGGGCAGTGATCCTGTGCTCACCATGTCTCAATTTCAGAGCTTCTCTGAGGTCCCCTCACAACATTCAACAGCTTAGCTTGGAGCAGGAGAACCATTCAAGCCTGTATAGACTTTGGAAACTTGCAACAAGGCACCCGTAAGATCCCACCTCTTAGTTTGACTGGCAGGTCCGCCTGGAGGCCTTGATTGACTAGTGAGTATTCCTCAAGGTTAAAGTGTGCTTCTGGTACAGTGCCAGGCCTTTTCCAGATCTTGGGAGTGATTTGCACTCCATTAGCATTTGTGTCTGTCTTCCAAGAGGAATCTCATGTTAAAAAGAGGTGCAATGGTGCATGTTCACTCAGGTGGCCTTCTGAAAGCCCTCTTTACAAGACTACTTCTTGCTTTAACTGCCATACAGTTCAAAATACAAAGACATTAAAAAAAAAAAAAACTCTTGAATAATTGCAGAAGAGAACTTTCAGTGTTAAATTCTGAAGGGCATAGTTTTGAAATGAAAGAAACTAAATATTCCATTATTCATTTGGAGTTTCCCCCCTCCCCAATTTGGATCTACCTAATGCAAGATTCCTTCTCCCACATACCCCTCACACACTTCATAAAGCTGTTTAACCTTGGTTCATGTAGCTAAAACCCACTTTCAGAAGCAGATTTGAAAAATCATACACTTCTTTTTTTTTTTTTTTATTGGATGATTTATTTACATTTCCTATGTTGTCCCCTTACCCCATCCCCCACCACCCCCTCGGAACCCCCAATCCCCTCGCCCCTCCTCCTTCTTCTCTGTGGATGTAACCTCTATCTACACCCCCCCACTCCCACCTCCCCACCCTCAAAATTCCCACCCCCTGGGGCATCCAGCCTTCATGAGGTCAAGGTTCTCTTCTTCCACCTATGCCCAGCAGGGCCCTCCACTTTTACATATTCAGCTGAAGCCCTGGATCCCCCCCTAAGTGCTCCCAGGCTGGTGGTTTAGACCCTGGGAGCTGTGGTTGGTTGGTATTGTTGCTCTCCTCATGGTGCCACAAACCCTTTCAGCTCCTTCAGTCTTCACTCTAACTCCTCTATTGAGAACCCCATGATCAGTTCAATGGCTAGTTGTGAGCATCTGCCTCTGAATATGTCAGACTCTTGAAGGCCTCTGAGGAGATATCCATATCAGGCTCTTATTAGCAAAATCATACACTTCTTGAAACACAGAACACCTATTGAAACACAGAACACTTAATTAAAGATCTAGGCCTTTTTAAAGTCTGTTATAGAAGTTTCACTTGTTGAGACTGTCTGCTGCTATGTTCCAGGCTCTAGAAAAGATCCGTGGCCCAGAGACTCTTTCTTCACAGCTGGGATTTGTAGTTTGGCATTTGTTAACCAGCTTTCTGGTTTTGGCATATAGTCATCTGACAAATGGAACTGTAATTTCCATTCAAAGAGGCTAAAAGAGAAATGGTGTTGCAGGAAAAAGGTTGCCTGTTCTTGGTCTTTTGTTTTAAATGAGCCAGGGCCTCACTCTGTAGTTCAGAATAGTTAATAGATATTCTGCCTCAGTGTCCTGGGTGCTGGGGATTACATGCATGCACCACCCTTCCCAGCTTCAACATCATTTTTAAAGGGTAAAGTTTGGATATGTGTTTGAAAAAAAAAAGCCACAGAGCGAATAAGGGGAACTTGGGAGCCCAGTTTGTTCATTGCGGCTTTCTTCAGGAGGAAGAAATGCAGATGAACTATTTTCCGATAGCTCCGCATTCAGGGGCTTCCCATGACCACATATCTACCCTCGGGGCGTCCCTGCGCTCCCCTGATCTGGCCCGCGCCTCACTGGAGCTGCACCCACACCCGGGACCCAACGCGGCCGCGCTCCCGCATGCCCGCCCCCGGCCCGCCCCCAGCCACCCGGCACCCAATCCCAGCGCCACGCACGTGACGAGCGCTGCCTGCGATGACCTCATCCCTGGTGTGGGATGACGTCAAATTCAAGATGGATGGAATCACAGCGGCAGTGGAGGCTGCGGGTTGCGCGAGCCGAGTGTGAGCGGAAAGGGGCTTGGCGCCTGCCCTGGGGCTGAAGAGCGGTGAGTAACCGTCACGCTCCGCGCCCTAGGAGGACGTCGGGCCCTGTCGGAGACTACGGCCACTCCGCAAAACGCGGCCTTTCCTGACGTAACTCTGAGGTGATTTCTCTCCTTTTTTTCCTCCACCAGTGGGTTGCGGGCGTCGGCCCTTTTACGCGTGCGCGGGGCCTCGGTCCTCACCGAGCATGCCCAGACTCCCACGTAGCCGCTTGTGTCCTTGCACTGCGCATGCTTTGTGCCCGCATTTGGCCTCGCCCTCACTCCTACGCATGCTCAGCCTCCAGGCCGCTGAACTGCTCATCCTGGTCCGGGCGGCCGGAGTAGCCGCGGTGTGGGTCCGGGACGCTGGCCCCAACAGAGCCGTTGAGACGCGGCTGCGGGCTAGAGCTCGCTCTCTGGGTCGGGCGGCGCGCGCTTGCGCGGGGCCGGGAAGCTGGCGGGCGGTGGCAGCACCCACACCTGCCGCGGCTGGAGCGTGACAGCCTGGCAGCCAGCACCTCCGCGGCCATCTCCTTAGCCCATGCAAACCCTGTCGTACCCCTCACTCCCACCCTCGGGCCCGAGACTTTTCTTAAGAGAAAGACCCTCCTCCGGGGACATAGCACGGAAGACCTCCCTGCAGCTCACATCTTGGCCGGGTCTCCCCATCTCCCAGGCTTGGTTATTTAGAGCACCTTTGAGTGCCCCTCTGCAGAGACTGCACCTTGTAGTCAAAGAACCATGCACATGTGTGTCCCTGAGGCTCTGGGTTCTAGAGAACCGCACACTGCAGGACGTGTACAGAGAGCCTTAAACAGGTATTCCCTAAGGTTGCCCGACACAGGGCCGGTGTTGGGGGACACTGAGTAACCCTTTGAAGCTTGGAATTTTTGTGTGATGCATGAACTCCAATCGCTTCTACATCTTTGGACATCTGTGTTACAGCATAGTCTGGTGATTGTTCATCAGCATGACCCTGAGTCATAAGTTCCTGGGTTTGTTTCATGGTCCTCCCACCTTGTTTCAGAGGGTGAAAGTAGGTTAATCCGTGTTAGTGTTTCCACTGAAAACCCTCCTCCACTTCTGGTGATTAATCATTACCCTTAACCTTACCCCTAAATATTGACGTTAAAGTAGAAAATTGGCTTACTCAAAATGACTCTTTATTTTGGCTTTGCACTTAACAGCATAGTGTTTTTATTTAGTATGTATTGAAAGTATAGGGAGTGTCATTCTTAGGAAATAGAAATTGTCAATAAAAACTCTCCCTTGAGGGATTGAAAGTATTATGTAGTGGAGAATATTAGGTATGAGAGCAGTAAAAGCAACAAAAGAGCATAGAGGTCTCTAGACAAGGTGGTAACTGAGAAGCCGTTTTAGTTGTCCTAGTACTAGAACTGATTAAGGGCTGGATTTACAGGTATCAGAGATTGACCAAAGGGCAAAGGAAAGAATCATTTTCTGCCAGAGGAGATAGAGCTGGCATCATCCAACCTAAGAAGGTGATGATTGAAGACAAGCAGGTGTGAGAGTGTGAATCACAAGTACCATGTAGGACAAGTGAGTTCACTGAGATGGATCTGTTCAGAAGGAAGGGGCTGGAGCTTGAAGTCTGAGCAAAGATGCAGATGGGGTCAGTTCAATTGTTAATGCAGTCACAAAAGCTCAGGAAAGGCGAGAAAACGCCCTATGCTGGGCTCTACAGACTAGGGGGAGATAAAGGTGAACAAATTCAATCCTCAAGTCTAGTGCGCTTTCTTTACACGGTAGACACCTGCCAAGTCCTATGCTAGGAATTCACAAGTGAAAACAAGGGCTTTTGGGGGAGCATATGGGGTGTTCTGAGGGATCCACATATAAAAGCTGATGCATTGAAATCACCATGGGCTTATTGCAGAGGGATGAAGGGTTGCTGTTGGTGAGTTACAAAGGCTTTATAGTTCCATCTGAGTTCTGTACAAAGTGGCCAAGTAAAGGAGAGAGAAAAGATACTTTGGGCTTTCAGAAACTGGAAGTGCAGATTGTGGGTAAGATGGTAAGGAGTGCCCCTGTCTTAGTGTGGGTTTTACTGCTGTAAAGAAATACCATGACCAAGGCAACTGTTATAAAGGAAAACATTTATTTGGGGCTGGCTTTTGGTTTCAGAAGTTTAGTTATTATAGTCATTATAATCATGGTGGGAAGCATGGAAGCATTCAGGCAGACATGGTGATGGAGAGGGGCTGAGAATTCTGCATCTTGATCTGAAGTCAGCAGAAGGGGACTGTGTCCACACTGGGCATAGCTAGAGCATAGGAGACCTCACTGCCTCCACAGTGACACACTTCTTCCAAGAAGGCCACACCTACTCTAACAAGGCCATATCTCCTAATAGTGTCACTCCCTAGGAGTCAGGCATTCACACACGTGAATCTATTGGGCCATAATTATTCACATCACCACAGCCGTTCAGGTTTGGTACAGAGATGAGTTGCTATCAGTCAGAGAAGTCTTATATGCTAGTCTATAGTTTGGATGTTTCTAGGAAATAATAATTTGGGGGGGGGGCTATAGTCTAAAACAGGTCAGTAGAATGGCCAGCTTTATTTAGAGTAAGCAACCAAAGGGCTTCATTTCTACTTCTTTATTTAAATTGGCATAGAGAGTAAAAAAAATATCACATATGTATTGTGTAGGATCCCAGTTTGGACATCATGAGGAGTGCAAAAAGTAATGTATTGGACTTTAAAGAGCTTGCAGTCCTGGTGGGACACACAGCTAACTAGCATGTGTCAGAGAGTAAACATAATGTGATGATGTACCTACTCTGTGTGACAACTTTTGCATCTACTGTTGCATTTGTTGGCATTTGCTTTTTGCCTTTTTTACAAGGGACTGCAACCTATGTTGGCCTTGAACTCATAATCCTCCTGCCTCTGTTTCCCAAGAGACTGGCACTGTAGACATGTGCTACATGATGTATTTTGCTTACTCATTCTAAGCTTAAGTAAGTTTAGGACTGTGTTTGTTTAGTTGGCCTGCTTTAATTTAGTATACAGACCCAGTGACCTACACATAGAAATGTATTTTCTCAAAGTTATAGAAGCTGGAAATAGGAGATAAAAGTGGTGTTGGTAGGCTAGGACTCTTCCTGTGCTTCTTCCCTTGGCTTGTAGATAGCTTCCTCGTGTGTCCTCATAGAATCTTCCCTTCAAGTTTGTCTCTGATCTAATTCTTTGTTCAGAGACATCACTTTCTTTTTTTTTAATTAAGGCACATTCTAACTTAATTAGCTGTGTCTTAAAGACCTCAGCTCCAAATAGGATTCCTTTTTAAGGTACAGAAGTTAGGACTTCAACAAACAAGCTAGGATGTTGGCTGGGAGTGTTTAGCCCTAAAGGATTAGAATTTGAGCTGTGCTGCAAAAGGGGTTTTGGCAAAATCTGGATGGTTCAGGTTGAGTAGTGGAGGAGGTCCGATGGGCGGGTTGTGTCTCAGGAACAGAAAAGGAAAAAGCCACAATAGGGAACTAAAGAATTTTAAGAGTAGTTTGAATACAAGAGTCTAAGAGGCTTAAAGCTTTTTTTTTTTAAAATAGGTTTTGTATTTAGCCTGTTCTGTGTTAACTAAGATAGTCAGGACTATAACTTTAATCAGTATTACATCAAGGTGGTTCCTGAGTTCCCTTTGCACTGCTGGGAACTACACCAGCTATTACACCTCTGTCTCCATGAAGACATTTAACACATTGAAATTGACTTTTGGGGTTTCCTTATCTCTAGACAACAGGGCTTTGTCTGTTCTGAGTATCCCTGTGTAAAGAATGTAATTAACACCCCTCAGATGTATGTAACCATGCCGTGCACTTGTAGAGGGCCAGTGAGCAAGCTGCATCTATGGAAGAGAGTATGTGCTGGGACACTAATGGAAGCCTTCCTCGGGGAATCCAGCATATAAAAGAGAAACATGAAAGGCAGGACAAGAGCAAGCAGCATGCAGAAATAAGCCAGAACAGAAACTGACTGGTTCAAAAGGAGATTCATTATAAAAAATGAAAATTAAAAAATGCATGATCACTCTTGAGGTTTGAGGAAAAGCTTAAACAAAAACAAAACAAAAAAACCTTGAGCTAGGAATGACAACCAAACCATGAACGAGTCAGGCACTAGAGCATTGAGCTCTCAGACCACACTGAGATCAGTCACTTGGCTCCACTCAACTATTGCCTTTGTCTTCTTATGAACCATAGTCTAGGGAAAAAGTTTCTAGTTGGTCTGGGTTTATGGTACAACTATCAGGTTGTACTTGCTAGGCAAGAATATTCTTCCAGACCAATGCAGACAGTCTCTGCAGAAGAAGCAATGCCTGCTGAGTGGCCAGAACAGACCAACGGAGGCTGCTTGTATGTAGCATAGCTAAGAGTCTCAACTATGTTACAGTGGAGTCATTCTCCTGGCTGAGGCTGACAATCTGCCCTTGAACCAAATTTGAACTAGAGAGAGGGAGGCTGAAATGTGTTGAAATGGAGTCCAGTAACCTGACACCATGAAGTATTCCCCTAAGCCTGTCTGGCTTTGAAACCAGAGGCACTGTAGATAATTTCAGGATGTCTGCAATGTTACCAGGTGAGTGATGATAACACTGAAGCTCAGCCAACTTCCTGTCATCATGTAGTAAAATCAAGTGGAGTGAGAGCCTGGGATGGATCTCTGTGTGTGTGTGTGTGTGTGTGTGTGTGTGTGTGTGTGTGTGTGTAGTTAAATGTTGGATGGTCGCACACATCCCTCTAGTTCCAGGGTCGGGTTAGGCTTATGTAAGTATTCTTTAACATTGCAAAGGGGCAGTATTCCCAGAGCTAAGCCTTAGGGTAGTAAAAGGACATTTCCCACAGAGCTATTAGTGTGCATTTTTGGACTAGTCCCAGAGCCCAGCTCTTTTGTAATGATCTTTTGCAATGCCACCAGTTTCTTAATTTGAAATAGGGGAGATCATTTTGAATCCTTTCATCTCCATCTCACCTTCCCTTCATAGTACACTGTTGAGTTTCTGACTATGTGCTTCCCTCTCTTATGCATCTGTCTCCAGAATACTCTATTCCAAAATTGCCCACCTTCCTTAAACTCCAAAGTCCTCATTCCAAGTAGCATAAGGATGGAAATGCTTGGGTTGAATTCATTTATATTAAGATACAGTTGTCTCACCTCAGCATCTAGTGTATCAGAGGCATTTGTGTGATGGCATGAAGTAATTTCATTGAGTCCAGCTGTGAGGAGCTTCAGGGTCCTTATAGGGAGTTGACTTGAGGCCAGGGCAAACTTCAAAAGTATTTAAGTCTGAGCCATATAAAATTTCTGAAAGTTCTGAGTCATTGGCTTTAACATCAGTATCAAGTGAATCCCAAGCCTTTCCTGATTCCCACCGGTCACTCATCCACCCTACCACCTCCTGACCACATTGATAGCCTCCTGACATCATTGTTCTTCCACATTCTGTGCCTTCTTTATCACATTGTTGTCTGCCCAGTCACAGGAATGTGAGGTGCAGGAAAACAGGAAGCCAGCCAACGAGTTCACCTCCCATCATCAGCACCTCTTTTGATGCAAAGTGTACAGCGGGCTCACAAACACTCGGGAGAGGAAGAGAGAAGAAACATGTGTGCTTGCCAGGTGGGATTTGCTCTGAAGACTGGGATTTTCACAAGTTGCCTTGTTTATGCCTCATGTGATTTACACGTGGTATAGGTAGGGCTAACACTGATCAGGCAAGGACACTACTACTCTTCAGAAAGGATGAGCAGTCCTGATAAGATTACATTCCTGATAGGTGGCAGTAGACTGAAGACTTCCCCATGGATAGCTGTCTGCCATGAGCTTTCACCATCACAATTCTCTCCATTCTCCCACTTTTGAATCTTCAGAAAACATTAAGTAGAACCATCTTGGGAAGAGTTTTGGAAGGTATTTGTAGGGAGATCCACATAATAATCTTTTTTCAGGGGAGTTTGTCTCAGCTGCTCCTTCCAGGTTTTTCTGTCATGGTTGATTGATGGGATTTCTGCATAATGAGTCAGGTGTCTATGAGCAAGCCAGGGACAGTGATAGATTCATGGTCTGTACATGAGATTTGTTGCTGCTGTTGAGTTATAGTTAATTCATGCAGGAAAAAGTCTGCTATTTAACACTCATTGAGAAAGTACGCCCAGCAGCACAACTGCTGTTGTGAGGGCTGAGCAGCTGAGGTGTCAGAGGGTCAGGTCTGGAGGATTCATCTGCACTTCCACAGCCACAGTGTGCTAGATTGCCAGGCAACACTCGCAGCTCTGCCTTTTCTCTTTATTTGATCTCTCAAGCAGTTTCTATACTTTAGTTGCTAAACTCAGTAAGCAGTTACACTTGCTGTAGTCAAAATGCAAGAATTCAAATAGTCCTTGTTTGCAGGTAGACCAGGACTGGAGCCATTGTTTTCAAATCCTCATAATTGACTTAAAGTGTAAAAGCCACCCATAAGTGAAGGTGAATCCATACCTCTTGGCCTTCTCTTCAGTCTCTCTAGAGACTGTAGAAGCAGGTGTCACTTCCCTGCTTAGGATCTCCAGTGTCTTCATTTTGATTACCAGAGCCCTTTCGTCTATCTCAGGGTCATCATGACAGTTCCTACGATGACTCTTGTTCTCTCTTGTTTGTGGTACTGCATATACTGTCCCTGTCCCTTGCGGGTCCTCTCACCTTTTCTACCTGACCCTACCCCATGCTTTGGTTTCTCGTCTGGCTGCCTTTCACCTGGTGCTAGTGGCTATCACTTGTACTGCATCACGTATGATATCCATAGACATTTCTCTGTATCTATATAATGTACATTGTCAACAGATTGCTGTGTGCTATTCCTATCCAAGACTAAACTCCAGAAACTAATCTCTGCTTATCTTTTTTACATCCTCTGTGGTTAGTAGAATTTTAGTACATTCTAGGTGGATCTTAGCTTACCTATGTATTTTTGGGTTGTCTTGGAATCTTGGTTTCTCTCTCAAAAGTAGAGCCTGATACAGTGGTCTAGATAAAGATGTTTGGGCAGAGATTCTAGGGAGCTCAGAAAAGGAAATAGAAAGATGTGCACAAAGGTAAGATTGATAAGTTGTCACTCACCTGTAGAATGTCAGAACTGAGTACCTTAGAAAAAAAGAGTCAGGGAAGCAGTCTAATTTCTCTGTCAAATCCATCTCAAAGGCCATCCTTTTGCCTGTCTTGGCAGGATCTTTGGAGGCATCCTTGACTCTTCCCATTGCTCTGTAGTTACTTCATTAGAAAACTTAATGGCTCTGCCTTTACAATCTATGTCAACCCCATGCTACTGCTATCATGACAGTAGACTTCTCCTATGTCCTTTGCTTTGTCATCTGCAAAGAAGCCAGAACTGTTATAATTAAGACATAACTCAGGTTTATTGCCCATGATCCTCCAGTGGCTCCCTATTTCCTACAGAGTAAAAGCCCCTCACGGCTATGCAGCCTTACAGTCTGACTCCTGAGGTGGTCTTGGCCATGACCCCTCCTCTCTTGGCTCCAGTTTAGTATCCCATCAGTCTGTGTTGTCTTTTCTTTGTAATCCTGAGGCTCATGTCCTACTTTGTTGAGTCTTCCCAAATGTACTTCAGTGACTGGATGAATGGATGGTAGGTAGGTACTGTTTGTAGGAGCTGAGTCAGTGATGGAATAAACATCCCATTTGCCCCTCAGTAGCATCGTTTGGAAGTTGTTACTGTCTCTGTTTGCTGTGTAGGGAAAAGACTGAGGCTCAGAATGACTGACTAACCAAGAACACATGTGACTCTTACCTCCCAGAAAAACTGCTTTTACAGCTCAACTGAGTGCATGCTTGCACACAGGGATATGTTTGTCTGTAACTGAAACAGGTTTCCCAAGCTCTTGCCACGTTTAGTATTTTCTGACATTTTCTCTTCTTGTGCTTTATTTGTTTTTTAATTGCTGGTTTCAAACCATTAAGTTGAGTTTAAAAAACAAAAAACAAAAACTACTTGACAAATGTCTGCCCAATCTTTACTTCTGGTCTGCTGTTTCCCCTGTGTCAACATCTTCAGAAATTCTCAGTGCTACAGACTACCAGTGAGTGCATGGCTGAATCAGCCTTGTGACAGTCTAAGCTCAGTGCTTTTCTGCTGACCCTGTAAAAGATGAGATGTGTCGTTAACAGATATGTGGTTCTTATAGTGAACTGGGAGTGAATGAGAAATAGAAATGGCTAGAAGAAAAAAAAGGATCTTATCCAAACCCTTGTTAAAAGTTAAAGAGCTGCGTAAAGGAAGGCAGGCAGGAATGAAGGAAAATCTGGTGGGTGCTAGCTTCATCTCTTGTGGCAGAGCCACACCCTTGTCTGCATCTTGCACTCTGTTCTCTCTAAATGCCAAAGAACATAGTCTCTAAGTGGCTAGTAAAGGCTGACCATGGAGAGCTGGGAGCTCTGGACTTGTTGACTTGTGTCTGGTACTGAGTATGGTTCTCAGTAGCAGTCCTTCTCTAGAATTATCTGTCAAAGATGTATCTAGTCACTGTGGATACATTCTAATAGAAAAAAAAAATCAGTGTCTGATTCTTTCTGTCAGTGCCCCGTCCACCCATACACACACACAAATACATACACACACTATGGTGCTGGTAATGAATCTTACATGTGCGAAGCAGGAGCTCTACTACCAAGCTCATCCCCAGTTCCATGACAATACTGTAAGTAGACACAGTGATGTAAAACTAGATCACAGAAAGGAGATGCACATATAGCAGAGCCCACATATCATTTCACATGAAAAGCCTGCTTTTGCTTAGAGTACCAGAGATGGGGTGGTGATCTGGGCCTTCTCCTTTGTTACTAAGTTAAACCTATTCTTGTAGTCCTGAAAGTGAGTAGCACATTTGTTGAGTGTTCACAGTAGATACTTGTTCATCTGATCTTTGCCACACCCTTTTAAGAAGTTAAAGTTGTTACTTCACACACAGACCTATGTACAGAAGGCATCAGCTCACAGTGTGAAGCCGGCACCACAGCCTAGCGTCTAGCCCCAAAGCTCACACTCACCCACCAAGCTGCTTTCTCTCATCTTTAGGTTTGAACAAAATTTCAGTGATCTTTCAGTTCAAACCCCTTAATCAGCTTTACAGCTAGGCTAAACACTTTGACAATTCATACTTATTTCCTGAATAAAGTAAGTGTAACTAAGCATCAGATGGATTAGGACCCTAAATGCTCAACTTAATTTTCAAGTGTCATCTCTGTATATAACTATTAATTTTGATCAGGCCTTTGATGGAATACAAATGGTGATGGCCTCACCTTCTGTCTTTCAGATAAACTGCAGGATGGAGGAACTACTGCATTACATCAATCCAGCACATGCCATCTCCCTACTCAGTGCCCTCAATGAGGAGCGCCTCAAGGGACAACTGTGTGACGTGCTCCTGATTGTTGGAGACCAGAAGTTCCGAGCTCATAAGAACGTCTTGGCTGCCAGCAGTGAGTACTTCCAGAGTTTATTCACGAATAAGGAGAACGAGGCACAGACTGTCTTTCAGCTGGACTTCTGTGAGCCTGATGCTTTTGACAACGTTCTGAACTACATTTACTCTTCTTCCCTTTTTGTGGAGAAGGGCAGCCTTGCTGCTGTGCAGGAGCTGGGGTATAGCCTTGGTATCTCCTTCCTGACCAACATCGTTGCCAAAGCCCCTCAGGCTCCTTTTCCAGCCTGTCCCAACAGGAAAAGAGTGCCAGTGGAAGATGATGAAACCAGCTCTCAAAAGCGAAGTGTCATTGTGTGTCAGGGCAGAAGCGAAGTGCCAGGGAAAGCCAGTGGTCCAGCCATGCAGGACCTCAGCCATGCTGCCCGGGCCTCCCCTAGTGGTTCAGTCAAGACCAGCACCAGTAAGCCACATGTGGCAAAGCCGCCAGAGCAGCTTCATAGTCTGTCCTTAACTGAAAAGAGCTGGACAAAGGATAGTGCTGCAGTATATGCAAAGTCTCTGGAACAGCCTGGGGCTTTGGATGATCCTAATAGGGGCAGTTTGGTAAAGAGAAATACAGTCCTGCCTCCAAAGCCTTCACAGGACAGGGAGGCCACAGATGATAAACCAGGGGTGAGCAGCCAGCTTCCCAAGGGGAAAGCTATAGAGCTGGCTCTGAAGAGACCACGGCCCCCTGTTCTGTCTCTTCATAGCTCATCAGAGACTCCATATCTCTTAAAAGAAACTAGCAAAGGAGGCGGTCAGGGGGAGGACAGGAACTTGCTCTACTACTCTAAGCTAGGACTGGTGGTCCCATCTGGTGGACCTGCTTCTGCAAACCAGAGCATTGACAGAAGTGGCCCACTAGTGAAGAGCCTCCTGAGGCGGTCACTATCTATGGACAGCCAGGTTCCTGTTTACTCCCCCTCCATAGATTTGAAGTCATCCCAGGGACCATCCACAGCGGCAAGTGAGGCACCGGGCAGTGTGTTCTGTGCGATGTCTCAACAGTCATCTTTAAAAGATTGCAGTGAAAAAAAAGCCCTGGATGACAGGCCTCAAATGCTCCAGCCTCATCGCCTCAGGTCCTTTAGTGCTTCTCAGTCGACAGACAGGGAGGAGGCCTCCCCTGTGACTGAGGTACGTATTAAGACTGAGCCCAGCAGCCCACTGTCAGACCCCTCAGACATCATTCGGGTCACTGTGGGAGGAGACGCAGCAGCAGCAGCAGCTGTAAGAGACCTGCCCCTCAAAACAGAGGAAGACCAGAGAGATATGAGCAGACTCCCAGCAAAGAGAAGGTTCCAGACGGACAGAAGGTCACCCTTGAAGAAGGCAAAGGCAAATGAACACGGGCCTGCTGTCTCAGAAGAAAACTGTGAAGAGGGCAGGAGCCCTCCTTCCCTTGACAGCAACTTCCCAGATTCTGACTTAAACAGAGAGGAGTTTGGTGAGTTGGAGGGGACGAGACCAAACAAAAAATTTAAATGCAAACATTGCCTTAAGATTTTTAGATCAACCGCGGGTCTTCACCGCCATGTTAACATGTACCATAACCCAGAGAAGCCTTATGCTTGTGACATCTGTCACAAGAGGTTTCATACCAACTTCAAAGTGTGGACACACTGTCAGACCCAACACGGCATAGTGAAGAACCCATCGCCAGCCTCTAGTTCCCATGCAGTTTTGGATGAGAAATTCCAAAGAAAGCTGATTGACATAGTGAGAGAGAGGGAGATTAAGAAGGCCCTGATCATTAAGCTGAGGCGCAGCAAGCCTGGCTTCCAGGGACAGAGTAGCTCCCCAGCACAGCAAGTCATCAAGAGGAACTTGCGCTCCCGAGCCAAAGGGGCCTACATTTGTGCCTACTGTGGCAAAGCATACCGTTTTCTCTCTCAGTTTAAGCAGCACATAAAGATGCACCCGGGAGAGAGGCCCCTCGGAGTAAGCAGAGCTGCTAAGCCAAAAGAGCGGGCTCTGGCAAGCGCGGTAGAGAGCAAGGAGGTTTACCCGTGCCGCCTCTGTAATGCTAAGCTCTCTTCTCTTCTAGAGCAAGGCAACCACGAGCGCTTGTGCCGGAACGCCACCGTTTGCCCTTACTGCAGCCTCAGGTTCTTCTCCCCCGCGCTGAAGCAGGAGCATGAGGACAGGTGTGAGTTCAAAAAGCTGACGTGCCTGGAGTGCATGCGCACCTTCAAGTCCTCCTTCAGCATCTGGCGGCACCAGGTAGAAGTGCATAACCAGAACAACATGGCTTTAGCAGAAAACTTCGCCCTGGCCACCCTGGACCACAACGGTGAAGTGGCAGCTGCTTGCAGGCCTCAGACTGAGCCCAGCAAGGTAAACCATGTGGCCACTCCAAAGGAGGATACAGCATTTAGCGACTCTTCAGAGCAAGTGAACTTCGATTCTGAGGATTCCTCCTGCCTCCCTGAAGACTTGAGTCTTTCAAAGCAACTGAAAGTCCAAGTCAAAGAGGAGCCTGTGGAGGAGGCTGAGGAGGAGGCTCCTGAGGCTAGTGCAGCTCCCAGGGAGTCTGGCCCCAGCAAGGAGGCCGGCCTATGGCCCTGTGAGAAATGCGGAAAGATGTTCACGGCACACAAGCAGCTGGAGCGGCACCAGGAGCTGCTGTGTTCCGTGAAGCCCTTCATCTGCCACGTATGCCACAAAGCCTTCCGTACCAACTTCCGGCTCTGGAGTCACTTCCAGTCCCACATGTCTCAGGCTACAGAGGAGCCTGTGCAGAAAGAGTCAGAGGTGTGTCCTGTGCCCACAAACTCCCCCTCCCCACCACCTCTCCCACCTCCACCACCCTTGCCCAAGATTCAGCCCCTGGAGCCCGACAGCCCCACGGGCCTGCCTGAGAACCCAGCCCCAGCTACAGAGAAGCTGTTTGCACCCCAGGAGTCAGATACCCTCTTCTACCACGCCCCACCCCTTTCAGCAATCACATTTAAAAGACAGTTCATGTGTAAGCTCTGCCATAGGACATTCAAGACTGCCTTCAGTCTCTGGAGTCATGAGCAGACACACAATTAAAGGACCTACCCCTCTCACCTGTCACAAAGCAGCAGGCCCTTGGCTTGTGAACTGTATCCTAAGACAGAATATTTGAAAAAAATAATAATAATAAAGGTTGGAAATTGTTATGTTTGAATTTTAAGTTTGGGATGAATTAATATTGGCTAGCAATGACCTCACAGCTTTCTGGACCTCAGCAGCAGGGGTTTGACTCTATTACTGTTGAAGTTGGGGTAATGTTGGTGATTGAGGCTTTTGGTTTCTGGGTAGTGGGATGCTCAGGAAGTTGTTTGTTTGTTTGTTTTTTGATTATTGCAGACACCTAAGTTTAGCCATGTTTCTAAGGCCAAAAACATACAAGGAAGAAGGGGAGTCATTTGCAGTATTGAGTCAGATTTTAGAATACTTTAGCAATAAGAAAAGACAAGCCCCAAGTTCAGTAAATTATCCTGATACTTGATAAGAAAAATATTTGGTATTTTGTAGTCCTATGAAACTTTCTTTTTGTATGAAAATTGTGAGAATTTGAATCAGCAATAGTTACACTTAGATTTTTTTAATAAAAGAACGATCTGTCAATCACTTCATACAATCAGTGATGGTCACATGCCAAGGGAGGCAGAGTAATAGAAGCATATTTGTAGGGTGCTCTGCAGTCGGCTGCAACAGGTTAGTTGTGAAAGCTGCTGAACTCTGGTATGTTTTCTGATACGTTTTGCATAGTAGCATGGCTTCTGATTGGCGCTTTAGAACTAACAGTGTTTGTTCTCTGTCAGCTTGAAACTCAGGTGTCATTAAGATAAGCAGTGCTATCATGAGGTTAGCAAAGCATAGCCTTACCACATCCTAAACCACCATTCTCTCTCGAGGCTTCAGAGATTGGAGGAGATGCCATGTTGCAGCTTCCATGTGCTTTCCAAGAACTGAACACACAACATACACATTTTCTGCCTGTCTTTTGTGGGGACTTCTGTGGGAGTATTGGAGTGGATAGCAGTGAAAATGTCACTACATGATATGCAGATGTGTACTAAAGCACTAGCAAGGGTCCAAAATTAGTTTTTGCTACTTGATTTGGTATTTAGGGTTTGGGCTCCTCTTCTGTTTTTTCTTGTTTTGTTGTTTTTGTTTTTTGTTTTGTTTTGTTCCATGTAGGTTGTAATTAAACCTCTCCATAGGCAGAATCCCAAGTTCAGTGAAATATTTCAAAAGACAAAGGGAAGATCACACCTGGAAAGGAAATTAGGGGGACACAAACTCCCTATTCACTTTTGCTGCAAGCTATTTCTTCACATTTTCAAGGTGTGCTCTAACAGAGACACTGACTCACCAGCATTCTACACCTGTGATAGCAAAGGCAACCTTTATATTGAAACTTTTTTTAATAAAATACTAATTGACTTTGTACGTCATAGAAGCTATATGTGGAATTCTGCCTTTTATCTTTTCACTTGAAAAAGCTATCAGAAATTCCTAAATATGTCTGCATTTCCTATTTTGTTTCTTAAATTTAGCGAAGAAGGGAAATAAAATTAGGTTGCAGTTACTAATTCCTGCCGTCTGCTTTCTTGAACTATGCATTTTAGAGATAAACTAAAAGTGTCCATCATTTAATGAATGAAGTTAGTGCCAGGCTAGGTAGCTGTCCACTGAACTTATTTCCTGTGGTGAGTGAATAGTCTCTCCTCAGAGTGTTATTCTTTTAAGACCATCTCTCTGCATGGTCATATCCTGTGTAGCTACAGAGTGATAACCTCCAAACCTGGCATTGCCAGCTCAGTGCCCCAAGACTTGAACCTATGCTACATTTTTGAAGATTTATAAAATAACATTGTTGCAAAAAAAAAAAAAAGAGAGAGAGAAAAGAAAAAAGTATGTTTGATTTAAATACAGGTTCTGCATATCTGTTAGGTTTTACAAATTACCAGTGTTTGTCACCTTTTTTGTCTAGGAAGAAAACATAAGATTTCAAATAAAATTTTGAACCAAAAACATTTATAATGCAGTTGTGGTTTTTCTATTGCTTTTTTATACTGTATCTTAAAAAAACCTCAGGCTGCAAGAATTTATTTTGATCTCAAACACTATCCTTCCATTCATGTAACTATTTCAAGTGCTAAGAAACAAAGTAATAAAAAACATTAATCACTTTATTCAATAAACAGTTTTTTAGAGAATGTTTATCTCAGCTAGCAGGCAGATGTTTAGTGTGAATTAAATAGGTCTTTCACCATTGTAAATCTTTAGATAGTAAAGATATTCTTGTAAATGTTTTTCTGATTGTATTAATTTTTACAAGTATAGAAAGCTCATTGTTTCTTGTAATTAATATGCCTGCTTTTTTAATGCAGTTGTGGAAAGAATGTAAACTTTTAATATATTCTTTGTTAACTTGTGAACTTGTTATTGTTTTCTTTATGTGGAAAGGATTGAGTACCTAAAATATGTTTTTCCCACTCAAAGTAAGCAATAGAGCTAGCATTTCCAGGTTGCTAGCAAAATCTCCCTTTAAAACTAGTTCATATACATTTGTGGTTCTGCCAAGGCTGTATGTATTCTGCTTTTCTGTTTTAGAATGTGTCCTTGTTCTCTTTGAAAAGATTGCCTGGTACTCAGTCGCTTACCACCTGAACCTGCATGTAGCCCCTTACTGGCGCTAATGGTGACTGAGATGACGAGTCCTTTCTTTGGGACAGAGCCTGAACACTACTTCCCCAGGCCTAGTGGGCCTGAAATTGGTCTCTGTTCCCTATAGTTGGGCTGTCGTGTGTGTGTGTGTGTGTGTGTGTGTGTGTGTGTGTGTGAGAGAGAGAGAGAGAGAGAGAGAGAGAGAGAGAAGAGAAGAGAAATTGGTGCGTTTCCTTATTATAAAAATGAGTAGCTTTCATTTCTTCAGATTTCTTCATAAATCCCACCCATTAATTAGAACATTCAAAGTCAGTTTGTTAATTTCTGATATCTGACTGGTGTTTGGGGAATAGTTGTGAAATGCATTATTGACTCAAATACTACCAGTGCACATCCTTACTAAGTGTTCTTTAAAAGCAGACTTAGTCCAGATGTGGTGGCATGTACCTACTGTCACTATATTCTGTTTGGGAAGCTAAGCTGGAGGATCACTTGAGCCCAGGAGTAGCATAGTGATACTGTCTTCAAAAAAAAAAAAAAAAAGTAAAAGTATTCAAGTAGATTTTCCTTGCTTGTGGCTTTAGCACTTTAAGACATTTGATACATTTTTTGTGATTTTTAGCATGCTCTTCAGTGAGGACTCTTAACTGGGAAGATCGAGCTTTTCTCCAGGGCAGGGAGCTAAATTGGGGTTCAGAGTCTAGCGAAGAGAGAGAAGTTAGTACCTGGTGTTTAAAAAATTCCTTTTAGAGACAGGCTTTGGGGAATCAGAAGTATCTTCCTATAAATCTTTTAAATAGTTGAATTCCACATTCTTGGGTCATTTGTGCACACAATTTGAATCTCCATAGTTATTGGCTAATATTGATTCTCAGAAGGTGGCCACTTGCAGCTGGCTTTAATCCAAACTGTCCTGAGAACAATTTTTCATCAAATTCTGTTTAACTGAAAGCAAATGGGCTTTATAATTGTGTGCACGTGTTGTTGTTACATGCCTTTGCAGAATAGACTGCTCAGCTTTTTTTTTTTTTTTTTGTAGAAATAACCTTTGGGGACTTCAAATACATAGTATGATAGGGGTATATGGTATGTAACGATGCTCAGTTCTTACTCCATCCAGTTCTGTCCTGTGTTTAATGGTGACCAGCAATGGATGGGTCAATAAACCTTTGCTCTTCTCTGAGTTGTGGTGGCACTGGTGTCTGTGCTTTGAAAATCCCCAGTGGTGCTGGTGACAGTGAAGGGGATCCTCCTGTCAGGATGATGGGGGGGGGACATTGCTGGTGAGCTTAAGGACACTTGATTTCCTCACCTCCACCCTTATTCCAAGTTGCCTGTGGAATTAAGTTGCTGGAGCCCTCAGTTATGTGGGGTACCACAGATATGTAAACATTAAGATTAGATGCATGGACATTTATACCTGTCTGCTTTGTGTCATTCCTTGTGGGGAAAATTTAAAAAAGGCCCGCCACAGCGGCGCAAGCTTGCGCCACCATGGCAGGTCCCACATCTGGGAAGAAGATCCTACGGTTCCAGCGGCCTGAGGGCCTTGGCGGCGGCAGGCCCCAGTAACACGAGGAAGTCCTTGGTTTCAAAAAGGTTTATTGACATGACGGATAATAGATGGATCTAGGCGTACCCCCAAAACTCAGGGCCGTCCCGAGTTATATAGGGAGGGAGAAAGGGGGAGGATTAGGGGAGGATCTGGGGGAGGAATGTTTAATTTGCTCTGCCCTCTGGCCTTCATTAGTATGTAAATCTCTAAGGCCTGAGGCCTATCGCCTGGGTGACTCTATGGAGATCTGTGACTGTTTTTCAGGATCTTAGGTGATGGGAGGGACCAAACTCCTGCCGGTTCTCATGAGGAATTCCACAGAGAATCTCGGGGTTCTAAGTACCTGCTCAACCATGACCCAGGATACCCTTATGCAGTCCCACAATTCCTGCTCAGATCCATTTGAAGACACTATTTTCTAGTCTCATTTCCTAATTGTAACATTTTTCACTGTAATGAGACTCCTCCAGTTCCTCCATCGCAGGGAAATCGTCCCTCTTTATTTTTGCAAATACTTGGCTGTGGGTATGTCACCAAGGTAAGAGAAAGGGCACAAAGAGAATGGGCAAACTCCTACACCGGTGGATAGAGCTAGCTGCTTGCATCACTTCCAGACAGAAAATATAGCCAGATTTAGACTGGCAAGCCCCTCATATTTAAGTACCACTAGGTGCTACCTACAGTCACAGATGTGTGACATGCTAGGTTCAAGTCACTGGTGCTTCTCAGAGTGCAACTCAAATGAGGTCATGACTATCCCTAAGAAGAAACATAACAGCTGACACCAAGTTCTTACAAGATGCCAGAGCTAGGCTTGCTTTCACTTTATTCCATTTCCAATTTTAGGCAGCCTACTCATAGCTGGTCCTCTTCCATATGGATATTCCTTAACCTATGGTTCTTATAGTCTTGGTCATTTGAAAAAACCTGTGAGCTGGTCCTTTGATAGAGTGTCCCTTGATTGAACCTATCCTCCCCATGCATGTGGTTGGTGCCAGAAAATCTCAGAAACTGTTTTCTTCACATCCCATCATGGGGACACAAACATATATACAACTGTAGCGCAGTTGCCCTGTTTCTGGTATGTGCCTTTCTGTCTTGTGCCTGAGGCAGACCCTGCCCAGCTTCTCTGCAGCCAGAACATAATTTATGGGAGATGTTTTGAGACCAAAATCCCATTCCTTTTCTCAACCTTACCCTGTAGTTTTGCCTATTGCCTATTGCCTAAGTTCTTTTTATTTTGTAGTCACTGCCAAGTGGGGATTGCCTCATCTCAGCCTTGCTTTATTTATTTATGGATTTTCATTCTTGCCAAAACAAACAAAAACCCTCACATATCCCAACCATCTTGTCCTAACTTACCTGTCTACTCTGGTGTGCTGTGGAGCCACTGATTCTGATCTAACTGGCTTGAGCCTGTTGCCTTTGTCTTTATTTAATGTTTAAATTAGTCCACATGTCCCTTCAGGTATTTTGCTTTGGAGCATAAGATATTATGTTGCCGTATGGGATTCTTTTCCTCCTAGATTTCTGAACCCAGCCATTTCTTCAGTTTCTTTAGTTGGGAGTTAGAAAGGAGAAGCATGGATGTTCAATGGCACTCAAATGTGGTATGCTAGGTTGTTCAAGCAATTAGACTTGAAAGGGAACACGTGTGCACACATGCGTATACACACACACACACACACACACACACACCATACAGCTGGAAAGATAATTACCTTGCAAGGAGCTGAGTTTTATCCCCAGTACGTTAAAAAGAAAGAAAAAAGCTTCATATTGCCAGGCATGGTGGCACTTATTTTTAATCCCAGCACTTGGAGGTCAGAAGCAGGCAAATGGATATCTGAGTTTGAGGCCAGCCTGGTCTACATAGTTCCAGGCCAGGCAGGGGTACATAGTGAAAGCCTATGTCAAAATAAATTAGTAATATAAATAATATGTACCTAAAAGCTGAGGGTGGAAAAAGGCTTACAATGAATATTTCAACATCAGGGAGGCAGACAGGTAGATGGTACTTGCCAGCCAGCCAGCTTAGTCTACTTGTTGAGTTCCAGTACAGCAAGAGACTTTAAAAAAAAAAAAAAAAGATTTATTTCTTTTTATGTGCATTAGTTTTTTGCCTGCATGTCTGTGTAAGGGTGCCAGATCCTCTGGAACTGGAACTACAGACAGTTGTGGACTGTGTGTTGGTGCTGGGAATTGAACCCAAGTCCTCTGAGCCATCTCTCCAACCCCCTGCAAGGGACTTTTTTTTTTTTTTTTTTTTTGGTTTTTCGAGACAGGGTTTCTCTTGTAGTCCTGGCTGTCCTGGAACTCACTCTGTAGACCAGGCTGGCCTCAAACTCAGAAATCCACCTGCCTCTGCCTCCCAAGTGCTGGGATTAAAGGCGTGCGCCACCACTGCCCGGCCCTGCAAGGGACTCTTATCTCAACAAACAAAATGGATGGTATCTGAGGAATAACACCTGAGGTTGTCCTCTGCACGCATACACATACAAGGAGGAGGGATGAAACACAGCTTGGGCTGGAAAGATAGCTCAGTGGCTAAGAGCACTGACTGCTCTTCCCGAAATCCTGAGTTCAATTCCTAGCAACCACATGGTTCCTCACAACCATCTGTAATGGGATCTGATGCCCTCTTCTGATATGTCTGAAGACAGTGTACTCATATACATAAAATCAATAAATCTTAAAAAAAAAAAAAGGAGTGCATACTGCTTGTTCTAGCTGGTTTTGTGTCGACACAAGCTAGAGTCATCAGAGAGGGAGGAGTCTCAGCTGAGAAAATGCCTCCATGAGATCCAGCTG